GTGGGCAGAGCCCCAGAAGACAAGCCCCTCAAGTCCCAGGCCTCCTGACGCCCAGCCCCGGGCGCCCACGGGCCTCCCAGGCCCCTCTCACTGAAATGTAGGGACGCAGACAACAGAGGCCCCAGGCTGGCCTCCGGGTCACAGGACGAGGGCAGGCCCAGCAGGGTGGGGTGCCTGCAGGGGGAGACTTACCCAGCATGCCTTGTGAGTGCCAGGTGTACTCGTACCAGGTCTTGACGCGGTTCTGCACGGACCTGGGGATCTTGTAGAAGTTCATGTACTTCACGGTGCTGTCCATGCAGCTGCGGTAGTAGGTCTGCCCGGCCGTGGCGGCCCCCACCACGTCTCTCATCTGGAACAAGGGGGGGGGGGGACGAGGAAGCCGCTAGGTCAGAACGGGGCGGTTCCATGGGCTTTGGGGACGTGGGACACGGGCACGTTTACTTCATACAGACCAGGGTGCGGTGGGAGTGCAGAGAGAGGGAGGCCCATGTCCACCCAGAGAAGAATTTGCTGGCGGGGAGTTATGTCTCCAGCAAAGGGGGGTGGTAATGGGGGGTGAGGCTGCTGGCCTCCTGGGCGGCCTCAGGTCCCAGGGGCTGGGCTGATGCTGATACCACACAGCCGCTTGGTGCCAGGGGCACTTGGACCCCAGGCTGCAGGAAATATGCCCGGTGAGGGTGGGGCCCCTCAAAGGTAACTCTGAGGACCGCTGAGTGTCGCCTCCTGCACTGACACTAGAATGTGAGCTACGCCCCCAGCACATCCGAACCCCCGCCCCAGGGCTTGCTCTCTCCAAGGGCGCAGTTCCTCAGCCCCTGCAGCAACCATTCAGCCAGCTCTCCGGACTTCCCAGAGGAGGGGCATTTCCCAGGGAAGCCAGCGCCCCGAGGGGATGGGCCCCAAGCCCAGGCTCCCAGGCTCAATCTAAAAGGCCCAGGCACAGGTGGGCGCTCCCGCAGGCAGGCGTGGGCAGCCGGACCCGTGACCCATCTACCTGTCCGATCATCACGGAGAAAGCGAAGACGCCCGTGAAATAGTTCAGCAGCTGGAAGACGATTTCAAACAGCGTCTTGGGGTCGGGCAGCCCCCCGATGGTGATGAGGGTCTTCACAGCCCAGTAGTAACAGCGGATGTAACTAAGGGAGGAAGAGGAAGGGCGGCTCAGGCATCACAGGCCCCGGTCCCCCGACCCAGGTGGCCTGGCCCTGACAGATGTGCTTGTGCGAGAAAGAAAACCCTGCCCAGCCGGGGTGGCTCAGTGGCTGAGCATCCACCTTTGAACCTGGAGGTCACGGTTCGATTCCCGGTCAGGGCACATGCCCAGATTCACGCTTGACTCCCAGTGGGGGGCGTGCAAGAGGCAGCCGATCCATGATTCTCTCTCATCATTGATGTTTCTATCTCTCTCTCTCTTCCTCTCCCTTCCTCTCTGAAATGAATAAATATATATATATATATTTTTTTAAATGGAACACGGGCCCTGAAGCTGGACTTCCCGGGCGCAAACCCAGCGCTGCCACCCTCCAGCTGCATAACCTGGACCAAGCCTTAGCTTCCTTCCCTCCAGTGGGCGTGTTCATAGAAAACACCCATGACAGGTGACCATGAGGACAGCTGAGGTGCTAGAACAGTGGTTCTCAACCTTCTGGCCCTTTAAATACCGTTCCTCATGTTGTGACCCAACCATAACATTATTTTCGTGGCTACTTCATCACTGTAATGTTGCTACTGTTATGAATCGTCATGTAAATATCTGATCTGCAGGATGGTCTTAGGCGACCCCTGTGAAAGGGTCATTCGACCGCCAAAGGGGTCGCGACCCACAGGTTGAGAACCGCTGGGCTAGAAGCACACCTGGCCCAGGTGGGCTCTCAGGAAATGCCAGCCGTCACGTGCCTGCTCTGGGAACAATAGACTCCCGTGTCCTCAAGAAGTTCACCGTCTAGTGGGGACAGGCAAGCAAACACGTAATGGGGGAGGGAAGCAGCGGTGGTCGGCGATGGTGGGGGAGGGCTCTCTGGCTCTGACCAGCTGGAGGCCTGGGCAGGGCTTTGAGCCGCCCTGTCCCTCATTTCCACCTGGTGCAGGGGAATCGCCGGACAACACAGGCCGGCCCTGTGGGGTCCCCTGTCCTACCAGTCCTGGCCACCAGAGGGCGCAGGAACAGCCTTCAGCCAGCGGGACTGAGCAAGGAAGCGGGGAGCTGCTGAGCCAACAGGAAGAAAACAGGCGTGATGTCCTCAAGCCTCAGCCTCTCCCCAAACCCTTCCTGGCGGGAGGGACTGTCCACTGGCTGGCACATCTCAGGGGGCTCCCTGAAGCCTTGTCTTCCATGCTACCCGGGCTGTGGGGACCCTGCAGGATGAAGGGCCAGATATGTCGGAACTTGGGTCCTCTAGCCCCAGCCCATAGCAGACGCTCGACGAACGGTCGCTGTTATGAGTATTATAATGATCCATGGTATTGGGCTTCTGGACTTGCAGGGGAGTCCTCCTTCGCTGCTGGTGCTTTGGCCATGTATCGGGGTTCCCTGTAGGATTTCCTTTGGAAAAGAGCAGTGTTGCCAAAAAAGGGGGTGCCCTCCACGCTGAGCACCGAGAGCTCCCGGGGGCCCTACAGGAGGAAGGCCCTGTTCTCCGCTCCCTGCTGGCCACTCCTCCTGTGCCCGCGATGGCGGGGCCAGGCCCAGCCCCAGAACGTGGGTCCATAACTTGTTGGGGTACAGACGCCACTGAGAATCTTAGTAAAGCCAGGGACTTCTCCTTCGAAGAGCCAGTATGTCCCACACATCTCACTTGCACCTGCGTCTCAAGTGCTCGGTACCCTGTGTGGCTAGTGGCTCCTAGTGGCTCCAGTATCGGACAGAGAAGGCCTAGAACAGCGGTTCTCAACCTGTGGGTCGCGACCCCTTTGGCGGTCAAACGACCCTTTCACAGGGGTCGCCTAAGACCATCCTGCATATCAGATATTTACATTACGATTCACAACAGTAGCAACATGACAGTTATGAAGTAGCAACGAAAATAATTTTATGGTTGGGGGTCACCACAACATGAGGAACTGTATTTAAAGGGCCAGAAGGTTGAGAACCACTGGCCTAGAAGGTGAGGCTGGAACTGCGCAGGTAGGGAGGCTGCTGGGCAGCCAGGCCCCGCCTACCTTCCCAGGTCATTCCACACCCCGCCTCCTCCCCCTTGGAGGACACAGACTGCACGCAGCTCCTTAACTCCATTGTCCTGCAACTCCACACCTTTCTTCACGGTGCTCCCTCCCCCAGGCATGCTCTGCCCCTTCTCTCCACCTGCCAAGGCCAAGATCAAATGCAATCTTTCCGAACTGACCTTCTCGTTCCACCTCCGCAGCCCCAGGCAGACATTTGTGACACTGTAGCCACCCCGCCTGGGTTCAAATCCCAGCTCTCTAACTTAGGAACTGCGCTGCCCTCGGAGGTCGCTGCACACCTGTTACCTCGTCTGTGAAACGGGGCAGTGATAGCACCTCTCTTGTGTGGTTGTTGGGAGGATTGAGTGAGTGACTGTGTTAGCAGGGCTGGTACCTTATAACTGCTCTGCGGTTCCTGCTATTATTATTATCATCGCCATCACCAACATCATCATCATTTGATCATGTCCCACAGTGTATGGCAGCTCTCTGGATGGGCAAGTAGGTTTCTTCTTTTTTTAAAAAAAATTTTTAAAATTTATTTCAGAGAGGAAGGGAGAGGGAGAGAGAGATAGAAACATCAATGATGAGAGAGAATCATTGATTGGCTGCCTTCTGCACACACACCCCCACCGGGGATCGAGCCCACAACCTGGACATGTGCCCGACAGGGAATCGAACCGTGATCTCTTGGCTCAAAGGTCAATGCTCAACCATTGAGCCATGCCGGCCCGAAGGGAAGTAGGTTTCGCCTTGTTGGCCAACCCTCATGGGGCCAGGGATGGCCGGGAGCTGAGCTGAGGTTTCTGTGGCCTCGTTCCCGCTCAGCTGTGCCCTTAGGGCACCCACCCCAATGCACACGTGCGGGGACTCTGCCAACTCGGCTAGACTCCAGGATCCGGAAGGGTCTCTCCCGCGGGTCTGACTCAGGTCTGTGCCCCTCTGCCTGGCACGCGGCAGGGGCTCAAATGTTAGCTGAGCGAGGACGGGAGCCTTGGCCCCTCAACTTCATCACGGTGGCGGTTCCTTGGGATGGAGGAGGCCTGGGGAGCATCCGGGGATGGGGCTTGTGTATGGGAGTCCCTGGGCTAGCAGGATGGCCCGGGAGGAAGGCTGGCTCACCTGTTTCCCACGCCATCGTACACCCAGTGGGTGGAGCCAATGCCCTGATAGGCCGATGCCCAGTAATACAGGCACGAGTTCAAGTGCAAGCTGTAGAGCAGGTAGGCGGTGGTCCTGATAACCCTGCCAGGGAAGGAGAGGCGTGAACATGGCAGTGGGGAGGGTGGCCGTGACATTCACCAGGGGCAGGCGCGTAGGGAACAGGCCGACCCCCCCTCTCCGGGCACCCACCCCACAGACGCCCCCGTGGGAGCTGCGTGGCCTCGCCCAACTGCCTGGGGGCGGTCACTGGCCAGTAGGGACAGCACAGGAGCCAATGCACGGAGCCGACCGGACGCTCTTTTGAGACCGCGCGCGCTGGAAGTGGTGGCTCGGGACAGCGCTGTCAAGACCAGGGCTGGTTTGGCCCAGAGCGGCCTGTGCACACAGTCCTGGGGCAGTGCGTCCGTGGGCGGGGGCAGAGGAGGGACAGGGTGTGCAGAAGTGCCAGTCCACAAGAGAGGGGAGAGGACCTGTCCCCGACCTGCCCTGCTGGCCATCCTTGGACACCACCCGATGGCCCGCTGTGTCCTTGCTCCCGGTCCCCCTGGATTTGAGCGATTGGGACGGGGGGGTCAGTTCCCTGAGCTGAGACCAACATGAGGCTTCGCTCCCTGGAAACAGGGGTGAGGCATGCGTGCCGACCGAGGTGTTCCCTTCTCACAATCGCGGGAAACGGGACATCCCTGCTCCCCTGAAACACAAACATCCCTCCGAGGAGGGCCAGGAAGGGGCCCGGCTTCCGGCCGTGCTGAGGCCTGCAGGCCAGGGGAAGCGTGGGTGGAGGGTGTGTGTGTGCGTGTGTGTGCATGTGTGTGTGTGCGCGCGTGTGTGTGTGTGTGTGCGCGTGTGTATGTGTGTGTGTGTGTCTCTCACCTGTAAACATAGGCTTTGCTGAGGATGGATTCCAGGCGGTTGTTGAACTCGAAGAAGGCCATGTACTGGAGGGAGAACAAGGCATCAGGGCAGTCTGCGGTCCATGGGTGACACCCCGCCCTCACGCCGTAGCCCAGTTCCCCTGGGGGTGCCAGGACTCGGGAGGGGACTGGAGAGGGGACGTTCAAAATCACAGGTCCTGCCTGGCTGGTTTGGCTCAGTGGATAGAGCGTCGGCCTGGGGACTGAAGGGTCCCAGGTTTGATTCCGGTCAAGGGCATGTACCTTGGTTGCGGGCACACCCCCAGTAGGGGACGGGCAGGAGGCAGCTGATCAATGCTTCTCTCTCATCAATGTTTCTAACTCTCTATCCCTCTCCCTTCCTCTCTGTAAAAAATCAATAAAATATATATTTTTTAAAAAATCACAGGTCCTGAGTCCTCGCAGGGTCAGGGCCAGAGACTCCAATTACTAATCCGGTGGCAACCATGGCGCCTCTTCCTCTGAACTTTCATGCCATTGTGTCCTGACAGTTTAATCTCAGGGGCCTCCTAGACCTTCTCACTCTGATCATGAGCCTTGGAGGGGCCCCTGTGTCCCAGGTAAGGACACTGTTGTCAGTGTTACCTTAGAAAGAAAATAATCTCATAGCGAACCGTGTCCCTAACGCCCTCACTTACACCCTTTTTTTTCTAACAATAAAAGTAACCACAACAGCCGCTCTCTGTGCTGAGCACCTTCAACCACCGCACTGTACAGTGACGAGCGCGGGGGTTGGGGTGCGGACCCCTGTGCAGTCGAAAATCCGTGTGTAAGTTTGGACTCCCCACGAACTGAACTACTAACAAACAGCCTACTGTGCCCGGAAGCCTTGCCGATCACATAATCAGTTGATTTACACCTATTTTGTACGTTGTATGTATTATACACTGTATTTCTACAATAAAGGATGCTGGAGAACCGAAAATATTATTAAGAAAGTCATAAGGAGGAGAAAATACATTTGTAGTAATCTATGTATTTATTTTTTAAAATCTGCATATCAGTGGACCCACGCAGTTCAAACCCGTGCTGTTCAAGATCAGCTATATATATGTGTGTATATATCTGTCTCTATAGCGATAGATATGTTACCTGAGCACATGTTCTGCATGTGCGGTATGTATTAGCATTCTCCTTTTCCAGCGAGGAAACTGGCTCTCAGCCCTTACCCAAAGCACACAGGCAGGAAGCGACAGAGCCAGGCCTCGAACCCAGATCGGACTCGCCCTGCCTCTCCGAGGGGGACACCCTCCCCGCGCCTCCCGCTCCCAGTGTTGCCGGGGTGAAGCCACCGGTCCTACCTTCAGACAGCGGGGCAGCCGCAGGAGGGGGTTCACGCCGAACTTCAGGTAGAGCAAGTCCAAGGGCAGCAGGCACAGCAGGTCCATCTGCAATCCCAGCGGGCAGCACAGCATGTGCAACAGGAAACCCAGGGCTGGGAGGGGGTGAGTGATGGGGCCTCTCCCCTCAGTGGACAGGTGAGCTCAGGAGGCCCAGGAGGCCTAAGCGTAGAGCAGAAGGCCTCCCACCCACAGTGCCAGTCCGTGCCAGCCCGTGCCAGGCTGGGGAGCCACGTCCCACCTGCCCCGGAGCACCCAGGGCCCCCTGAGGTACCACCTTCATCCCTGCACACACCTTAAAGCGGGGAGACTTCAGGTAGTTATTGCGCATCTCCTTTTTATCTGTCTGGAAGGAAATGGAATCATGACCGAGAAATGGGGAGCAGCGATGGAAGTCCCTAATGACCCCCCACCTTCCTATCAGAGTTGTAGCCCCTGGACAAGGAGGAGCCAGAACAGAGCAGCTGCGCTCAGGGAGAGCCTCCGGGTTCCCAGGTGGGGAGGGGGAGCCCCCAGCCACCCGCTCCGCCTGCCAGTGGCTCACAATGATGTCCCCGCCCCTGACAAACTGCAGGCGCATCTGGAACACGGTGATGTCCAGGATGTAGATGAGGTCGCACAGGTAATCCATCAGCAGCCAGAAGTAGAGGTTGCCCGGCGTCTGGTAGGGGAAGGCCCAGCGCAC